TACTAAATAAAACATAATTCTTGGATATTTAAAAGTGTATGGGTCCTTTTACATCAGATTTCTATGTATATTTAGAGAAGCTCTTTCTTCTAAACTGATCTTCCGACATTGTGGTTTCTAATATGTCTAATCTGATTCCAAAAAAGGAAATTGAAGCTGCTAGCTGGATGTTTTTTCCAGCACATTGCTCCTTTACTACAATGATCTACAATAGGACAGGGACTGATAAGGAAAATTAGTGGGCATGTTGATGCTGCTTTCTCCTGGAACATCTCCAGATAGTTAGTGAGTTTTTTTTTTTTTTAAAGAACTATCCATCTTTATACAAATCTCTTGGAACACGTCTTCAAAACAATCTGCCAAAACAGGTGTGACTTCTGATCTGCTTCCAAGTGGAAAAAAAATAGACTGGGAATTAGGAAAACTGATTTTTCTTAATGTGTCCTGATTTTAAATGAAACAAATCACTACTGCCACTGTAATTTATTTCCACTTCAACCATGTGAAAATTCAATATACCAAACTTAATAAAATGAATTAATTCTACATAAAATAATGCCAATTATGCATTCATGTTTCAAACATATTCCTTATTATATATGTACTAAATATGAATTATAGCTAAACAGAATTTTTTAAAAAAACAACCCCTGTATCCCATATCAATTCCAGGCAGGCTCTAAAGCCTTATATAAACAGAGAATAAGTTCTTCATTAAATATTCTGCTTTCATAGTGACAGTTATGAATGCAACTCACACAATCCACATTTAATTCTAATTGCCTAAACTGATGATACTTGTTGGCAAAATAGAATAGCAAATCACACCCTTTTGCCATTCACTGATATTCATTAAGCAATGACACTTCATTTATTTAGAATTATGTCATGATTTGAAACACCACATCTAATTAGATACAAATAAATACATAACTCACAAAACAACAGGTTGTTAAGTAAAATAATTTCAAGTCCTATTCTTGGTAATGAAGAATACAATTTTAATTAACAAATAGAAGTAACATATATTATGCCTTACAATTCAACTTACAGGTGTAAAAGTAATCTGAAAGATTGCTGTGCCAGTACTATTTCTACAAAGGAATGTCAAAGGTCACAAAATAAGAAATGGTACTTCTTAAAGAGGAACAAGCGGAGGAAATATATTACCATCTGTCACGCCAAGTCATTTCCCCTTTCTTAATTTTAATTTTAGAGTAGGGGATACTTCATGACTATCAACTAAATTTCATGTGCAGGACCTAAGGTATAAAATAAGCTATTCATGGGAACAGAACAATGCATACGTCCCTATGGATTTTCATATTGGTAACAAAATATACAAAATATGACGCTTTTCTAAGCTGCTAGCCAAAATACAGCCCAATTCAAAGAAAGGGTGTAATCACATTTTCCCCTAAATATGGCTTTTAACATATGATAATCATCCTCATTTAAATTTAATTTCCTAGGAAAGGATCAAGGGAAATCTTATTAAGGCATTATCTGGAACTGCCATAAACATGCCAATTCTCCGTATTTATTCCAAATGTATTTTTTTCAATGAAGACAGTCCACGGAATTCCACCCATTAGGTAAGTATCCATAACTGATAAATGCTGAGCTAATTGTATATACATTCCAGATTCCAACTGGACTCCCAACAGTGAGAATTCAAAGAGATTTAATAATTAAAAGGAATAATTTGAGATGTTTGCGCTTTAGTGTACAAAGACGTCCACAAACACAAATAGCAAGATTCTGACTTTATTACAGGAGAAATTCCTCCTCCCATGACCTCTTTCCTGCCTTACATATTGGATAGAGCATTGTGTTCTAGACAGTGTCAGAATCTCACCATAGCAGTATAATAAAGCAGAAGGTGCTGCTACTGAAAAGAATAGTATCCTTCTATACACGCACTGGTGCGTTGAATAAATTAAAATTATTTTGTTTAATTTCACATTTTTAAATTAAAAAATTAAATTAAAATATGCAAGATTTGAATCTCTTTCCCTACTTTGGGGGCTACTGATTACTGACATCTCTATGCTCTACTTCTTCACCTGTCCCCAAAAATAGTTTGCATAAAATAATCCTAATAAAATGGGTTACAGCTTGATTTTAGTTCAGTTCCATTCCTTGGAGTATTATTAAGCTTTATTTTCTATATACTTTCTGCTTCATGAAGGAAGACACAACAGTAACAATATAAACCAGAATTATATAATGTATGAAGCAAAGACAACAAATCTATATCCGAATAATTTATGAGAAGAAGGTTAATGAATAATATAAGTTAGAAACATCGCTAAGAGAACTACTTAATTTTAGTCCAGTGCTTGATAATGGCAAATAACAGTTCCCTGAAAAAAATTGGAAATCCATATATAGATTCTATATTAATAATAAAATGGATGTTTGTCAAATATAAATGAATGATGCAGACTGTGAAATTACTTTTTCGCCATAAATCCTAAATATTGGGGGCAAAGTATTTCATTGGTATTATGAGTGTATATTTAATAAAAGGGAAATCTTATAATTCAAATTATAGGAAGGTGATCTATCTTACACAAAGTTGTTATGTGAATTATTTATAGAGCTTAACAATCGACTTCCATAATTTTCTGATCACTGTTATCAATGGACAGTATTACATGAATGAAGAAAACATTTAGTAAGTAAAACCTCATATGTTTTCCCAGACAATTTAAGGGCAAGTAATTGAGCATTATTTAAGCAGAAATTAGGCGGCTATACATATACGCGGTGAAAGTTTTTTTGTGACCATCTTCAGGTTTTCATTTGTTTTCTCTTTTTGCCTTTTTAAGACTAATGAGTGACATTTTGTGAGCATTTTAAAACTTATCTTTCTCAAATTCTGTAATTAAATCAATTCAACATGCAAACGTCATTTTATTAAAACCAACTTTTTAAATGATATTTATTTTATTTATGCTCTTTTTATTGAGATTATTTTAATTACTGATTGGGAATTTTCAAAGTTTGATATAAGATGGGCTGCTATATAAACATTTTACATACACACAGACACACAGCGTATTTATACATATGCATATTTCCAAAGTATTACCTGTGCTTTAGAAATCAAAATCAAACCATACATTTTTATCAAGTTTTCAAACACTGAAATGATTTAAAGGAAAAATATCAAAAGAATTCAAAATTTTGTCGGTAATGAAATACATTTTTACATTAAATTTCTTGCAATTAAAAATAAAAGTATTCCCAATTAAATAGCCAAAATAAATAAATAAAAATAAAGCAGAAGAGCTGGATGGATTTTTCAACAATAGGTTAATTTATTTATGTACAAATACTAATATTTAATAAACACTGGCTGCTCTACCAGTATTAAATGCAAAAGGATTAGCATTTATTTGCTGTGCCCTCCACCAAATAAATAAATAAGACAACACATCCCTAATTCAAACTGAGGTTGTCAGCAGGTGGCAGCACTTATCTGGCTTTGTCTAGACTCAGGAGCTTAGTAAAGTCAGGCCTAGTTTTCCACTCAAAGGGAGACCGCCAAGGAATACCACAGCGTTACCCATACTGGATATGAAACCATGCCAAAAAGAAGCAAAGGCAAAGCACTTCCATATTACTGCCATGGAACTGCATGGTTGTATCTATGTTGTCATCAACAATTGATCTCAAATTGGGAAAGTCTTGCCTTTTACTTACAGTAAATAGCAACACATTATATGCCCGCCCTTGTTTCCAAAACTCATTCCCACTTTTTTCTATCAGATTCAATGGCAGAAGAAAGGAAATGGACATGACTTTCAGATAAGGGAAAGTAGAATAAATTCGTCATAAACACTTCCCGATGTTAATAGGGCATCGGTTTAAATGTGACCAATATAAAGCCAGTTTGCAAGCTAATATTACACATATCTAACATCGGCACTTTTAGGTAACTACAATGTCCATCACATCTCTTACCTTGGTAAGGCCTAATTTCATTTACTCCTTGCTCTACTTGAAACAGCATATGTTTTAAAAGGCAAAAAAGTTTTGAAAACATTTGTTGGCATGCATAGTAAAGTTTTGTATCTTCAGAATATAACTGTTTGAGATCCTAATTCAACATATCAGAAAAGGAAAAATTTATCCCTGACATCTTAAAGCCTCTATTTTTTGCCAATTACACACAGTACCTTTCAGCATCAAACACCTTTGGTTCATTAAAAATAATTAAGAACATGTTAGCATCAAGCCCAAACAATGTTTGCTCAAATAGCCCTTCTACAGAAAACATCTCTATCTTGTTTTTTTTTTTTTGTAATGCATTATTCCTTTTGTAAAAAGATTTTCGAAATTAAAATGTTGAACAAGCCTTTCACAAAATAGTCTTAATTTTAAACTTAGGTTTGTGACAATTCGACCTATTGCAAATAAACTATTTGAAAACACAAAGCCTCTAATTTAAACTACAGATGTTTTAACAGAGGCATGAAGTTGGTAATATGCTCATAGTGTTCACAATAGGATGTTCTCCTAGCTATTGTGCTGCACTTCTGTGCCTTTTCTATGTTGGACAATTATGCTCTCTCCTAAGTCAACTGTAAACTGCCTCCAATATTGTGCCAGTCAAACCTGTTAGCCATCCTTTGCTAAGGTTTTAGGTTTTAATGTAAAAAACACCAGGTCCTACAGAATCATTACATCCCATCTGTTCAACATAAAAAGCAGCATAGCTTTATGCTCCTTAGGACCATAAGAACCAAATCTTCTTTTATGGTTTAATTAACAATAACCTCAAACCAGTGGGTGACAAATTTATGTTTGCTGGCTGTGCACTTTAGCCAGAAGGCGAGAGGGGGGGGAGGAATAATGAGGGTGACCCAGAGGAAAAAAACACAAAAATAAAAGCATTGCAACGCATGCACACACAAACATGCATGGCTGTGCGTGTGCATGCAGGCGCACACACGTCCGCACACCCAGAGACAAGGAGAAAGTCAACTCACAGAATCTCCAAGTCACGGAGGGCTCGGAAAGCTCCATCTTCAATGCAGCTGATCTGATTGTTGTCCAGTTGCCTGCAGGAAGGAAGGAGGGAAGGAAAAGGATGAAGGCTTGCCTGGTAGCCACGCTGCCTTGGAGCACCATGTCCTCAGCTTCCCTGTCACCAAGGTGTCCCTCCACCCCTCTGCAGTCTTTGCTTGTCACCGGGCGAAAGCTTGCTGGTAGCCTGCCACGCTGCTCTGTCTCTTCTCACTGACTCTCTAAAAGAGCTGCATACTACAGCACACTGAAGCCTGTCAGGTCTCAGTAAATATTAATTGTGCTTTCCCCCCCCTCTAAGGCAGAAGGGAATAATTTCATTACATTAGGACATCCAATCCATTATGAGCTTTTACCGTCATGTCACTGAAACAATTTCATTAAGCTAAAGGCCTGTAAATCATTGGAGGTCACTGTGCTGCCCCCGTGACCTCCCAGAATGCTGCTTTTCTCCTTTTACTGGAAGTTGTAGTTCTCCATCCTAAGAGTACTAAATCTCAAGCCTTTATCTGCCCAGGAGGTCCCAGGGTGCACAGGGAATATACCCATTCCAAATTAGCCTCGGCTAATCTAATTGTATAGTCTTTTTATTATTACAAGCATCAAATGTCTGTGGTGGTTCAATGTTCGCTTGCATTGTTGCTGGCCCCATCTGGAAGGCCTCACTATTGACACATTTCTAACCAGCATGAGCAGGAAAGATCTAATCATCAAATCAAATGTCAGGGTAGACACACTTGGAGCTAATCAGTTACTTTGGATATAATGGAATAGACCGGTTCAAATATAAGCAAGACCAAATAAGGGAAGAAAGGAGAGCTCTCAAATCACTCCTTTCAGAATCAGACCAGGTATTTTATTTTATTTTGTACACAAAAGAACTCAGCGATTGGCCCTAGATTTACACCAAGCCCAGCTATTTCTGATCACAGATGTGCATTGCCCATTGAAGAATAATTAATTATTATACAGACTTTTCATGAATTGCTTTGGGACATATTTGGCTGAAAAAATAATCTTATTGAGAAGTAGCATATTTTTAAAACATTGCATTTTATTTCTATAGCCATTTTTATTGCTTTAATCTGCTTATGCCTATTTTCTTGTATGATTTATGGCGTCAAAACACGATACCCCTCCCTCCCTTGGGAAATAAATGCATAAATGTATTCCCAGTTACACACTTCAGGTACTGCTGAAGTTAAAAGTGCTAAATATGCTGTTTTTATAATCAGACATGCAATAAAATGTTGCAGTATGGAGTGTGGTTGCTCAAGATTGTGCCAATGATGCAATTTTTCTACGCATAGTTTTGACGATTTCTTCATGGATGCTGTCATTTTGGCTATATAAGAATTGATGCATGGAGAATGACTTCCATCCTTAGTATACTGTATGTGATTATAGTGCCGCTGGAATACTTTGAACTCATTGGAGTCAAAAAGCTTGAATAATTAGATCTTATTACCCAAATTAACTGTTTTGTATAAAATAAGGTTCTAATAACGTAAACCAGATCATAGATGATGCAAGTTGAAAAACCTAGAGTTAATTATTAAACAGTTGTAAGCTTTATATCAGAATACACCGAGTTTTCAAAATAATAGAATAGAATATGGTTAAATTTCATTCAAATCAGATCATACCATTTTTAGAAAGCACAGGCCTCTTAATGGGTTGTGAGTTAAAGACAGGTAAAAATACTTAAGAACACCTAAAAGTGACCTTTTATACATCCTTAGGAATTCTAACAAAATCAAACCACTGTTGAAGGGACAATATTGGGGGATCAGATAGTTAGAGAGATAAATTTAGACAGCTTTTAAAATACCCAAACGTTACTGCCTGCAATGGAATTCCTATCATATTTCAAATCCTGGTCAAATCATTATTTCCATTTTTCCACCTTTGATGATAAAGTTTTTGGGAATATACTATTGAGAATTAAATGAGAATAATATGACTCAGTGATGTCTGTTAATTAAATAACCTTCCTTAGACAGGAATTTTGATTTTTTTAAACTTATATTTGTAACACAGTTTTAATCTTGCCATTGCTTGGAGCCCACTATTCACCATGCATTCACTGATAGCTCTTCTCAGCCTCGTGAAGCTAAACACTTAATAACTCATGACTGATTTCACAATCCTCCTCATACAATAAAGGCAATTTAGCAATATACCTGGGAGAGTGCGAGAGCTTCTGAAATACAAAAGCAAAACCTTGGCACTTTAGTTCTGCCTGCACCTGAGCTGCTTTTGTTTTTGGGGCTGTTTTTGTTGTTTTCTTGATAAGCAATTGCTGCTCAGTGCTCATACATTTAATAATACGGGCACGCTTTATACTTACAATATTACATCAGAATGCAATGCAGAAGAGTAGAATGTATATTTTAACATGAGGGAATGCCATAAGTTACAAGCATAATGCATAGATTTGGGAAAGCTTTTATTTACACACACCATTTTTCTACTTTATGTGAAGGCACTGGACTGTATTGTGGGAGTATAATTTTTAAAATAACCAGATTATTCACACTTTCATAGTTTAACAATCATAGAAAGAAAACAAGGTGCCTAGGTAAACAAACAAATTGTTCTTCCAAACTGTGCCTATCATCAAATAAAAAGAAATGGATTTATGACCCTAAAATATCATGAGGATCTTTGGATCATTCCCACTCCCGGAGTCTATGAAGACAAATATTGCAGAACTGGTTCCATAGCATTACTTTCCCTCCATTGAAAATTAACAATAATATCACTAGACTGAAATAAACATAATACAGTTACACAAGAAAATATGAATGTACAGTAATGTACCCAGATCTATATATGATAATGTCAGAAATGGTGTAGGGTCTGTTTAAGTCAGGGAATTGGACTAGATGACCTACAAGGTCCCTTCCAACTCTTGTTAATCTGTACCTCTCCACAACAACTACATCCAGATAATTATTTCTGAAGACAGGCAAAATGCTCAAAACAATAATAAATAATTTCAACAATGTACATAAGAGGAAAAATATTTATAGGAAGAATGATTTTATAATATTGGAGAATATGTAACTGACAACAATATTCTTCATTACAGGAAAAAAAATCTCAATTTATTTTTAAGATTGAAGACTAAGAGGCTACAAGATGATCTTGACTTTTGACATAATGTATATAAGGCTATTTAGTTAAACCTGATATTTAGCTGAACAAAAGTTCAACCCACCCAGCCGAATATATAGCTTGCGCTGGAGGATCTGTAATAGAGTATTCTCCCAGGAGAATGCTTAATGAAATTTAAGGCATGCAAATTTAGAATTTAAGGCATACAAGTTTAGTTTTCAAATGCATTTGAAGCAAAAAAAAACTACCCATACACCAGCTATTCTAAGACTATTTAAAAAAATACATGTATGATGCCATGCAGAGTTAAGTTTTTACTTTTGACTTAAGCACAGTTCTTTAAGGATATTTGTGTCACTTTGGATTCAGCTCTGAAGCTATCCTTTGTTGAGATGACAGAAGAGAAAAGAATTGCATAATTTTCTTTTTAGTGTGAGAGACCAGAAAATTGTATATATATTTTTTGAAGCACAGTAGAATTTTTGGCATTTTGTTTCCATACTGATAGAAGACTTGCCTCAACTTCCTGTAATAGTACATTGCTTGCTCCACCCACCATACTAATACTTTTGCATTGCTCTCTAGATATTGAGATTAGTGTCCATAAAAAGAATCCACTTTCTGAAAGTCTAGGGAGTAGAAATTGAAATCCCTGCCATGCAGGGAAAATGTGAAAGGGCAGTTTGCTCAAGGACAGGAAACTAGGTTCAGCTCTTTTTCAACACAAAGGGCACAAACAACAGAGGGAAATCATTTTCTGTATGCCCTGCTTTTAAACAGATCATTTAAGCTGATTGCATTTTTCATCCAGTTCTTTTTATCTGTTCTTCATAAGAGCAGGTTCATATTATGAAAAAGAAAATGCTGGACTAAGTGGATCCCTGCTCTGAACAGCAGATATATTTCAACATTCTTCAATGATAGTTAGCTTGAAGCTGAATCACAAACAGCTGGAGATGCTCTGAGTGTTTTCTCCTTTGTTTTGCTTTATTCCATGGGTATCAAACCGGTGGCATCATGTTGCAGTCACATGATGTATCGTGACATTTTCCCCTTCAGAGCTGAGGTGGGCGTGGCCTGCATCTGACCTACGGGCCACCAGTTTGATATCCTTGCAGTTTATTCTGTTCTCATTGACTCATTCAGGATTCATCATCCTGGAGTAGTTAAACAGTGATGTAACCAAAGAATAGCTTCCAAAATGGAGTAGTATGTGCAAAAGGTCAGAATAATGGGCACAAGATTGGGATAGAAGAAGGGAGAAGGAAATTCTTTCACATCTATTTCATTCTGCTCTTTATTTTCCTTTCCAGGTTTCCTAGTACAGAGGAAACAGGTAGTAACAGAGAGAATGACAGAGACAATTAGAATTGGATAGAAAGAGGAAGAGCTGGGCTTTAGTGATAAAAAAATTCTGCTTTCTAGGAAAGTGATGTCAGATTCCTGGTCTCTTGATGTAAAGATGAGACATTGGAAAGCTGTCACCAGTCCATGGATGGACTAATATCGTACTAGCCCCATGCTTTATCAGGGTAATCATGACATCCCTTTTTAATCTTTGAAATTAGAAAGAAAAATATCCGTATGTTTCCATGACTTGAGGGACAAAGGTAATGCTCGATTGCCATCAATCCTTTAGCAACTTTTGAAATTACTATCTTTAGATTCACATTATTGCAAATCAGATGCTTGGCAACTGCAGCATACCACAGTGATGGGATCATCATTTCTGATCTTCTCAGTCAACAAGCAAAATCAATGGGAAAGCTAGCAGAAGTTACAAGTTATGGTCACGTGATGTCGCCCTTGTCAACTCATAAAGCATTTGAGTTGGATTTCTTTTGAAACTTGAACTTAATTAGGGAATCTTTCGGAAACCTGACAGCCCTTAACCTGCAATGGTTCGTTTACTGAT